ATACATAAATGGTTTATAGCCCAGGAACCTATTTCTCCATAGTTTAAAAATATTAATAACAATGATCCTCAAATTATTGGAAACACTTTACCTTTAAACAATATCAAATCATTCTTTTAGACTTTTTTAGCAAATAATAAAGTAGAATTTTTAAAAACCTGCAAAAATACTATTTTTATGAATCATATTAAAGGCCTCTACTTCATTGTAACAGATCAAAAACTTTTAACTCCCTGTACTTGTAGTGAACAACCATGCTTAATCACAAAAAATATTAGAGAATTGAAATTAACATGGATGGTCACAAAGCTTGATTTTTCTTTTCTATTTAACAATATTATAGAATTAAAAAAATCTTTTATTTCTCCTTTATAAAACAACTACATAATAACTATTACACTTTCTATTGAAAATCTAAAAGCTCCTTTTGATATTACAATCTTTTAAAAAAACTATTTACTCTTTATTAATTATACCAACTCCTTGCTTGATTATAATTTATTTCCTAATCAATGGGCCTTCTTCTAATCAATCTTGACTTATATTATTATCAACATACCTAATAACTCAAAAATTGCAATCATTTAAACCAACTTCCAAATTATATGATCCCTAATTATTTCAATTAACAAATCAAAGTTTTCTTTAGTAGATTCATTCTAGAAGTCAATTAGCTTTGTTTTCACAAAAGTATAACTATTACCTGAACTAAGCAGAATAAAAATAATGAACTGTGTATCAACTCCATTGACAATACCTCAAATATTATTTAAGCCCAAATATCTCAAATTACTCTTTTAACCTTTGGCCCTTTCCCTATAATCAATCAAAATTATGTCACCAGTATAACTTATTGGATTAAATTTGTCAATTGCTATACAAATCTATTTAATTTTTTATTGAATTAAACAATAACATTTAAATTACAATTCCTGGAAGACCTGGAAATTATCATTAACTTAAATAAAAAAATTAAAAAATCTGATCAATTAAGATATAGAGCTCTTGCTACCTTTAGAATAAAACTTATTGCCAATCAACTTTCAATGAAATCCAAATTGTATAAGTAATATCCCAACCTCTATAACAATGATCTTTATCTCTGCTGTGACACTTTTTCTAAAACTCTAGAGTATGTGTTCAACTGCTATTATACTTTTAAATACATTTACAAAAAGAAAGCTAAGTTATTTCAGCTTATCTTAAGTCAAATTAAAAAGAATCTCTCTTCTACAATTTTTAACATTTCAACCTTCAGTCTCTTAAACAAAACAATACTTAACTTAACAACTGGCATTTATTATACACTTTTTACTTTAATTAAAAATAAGCCAGAAATCTCAACAAGGTACTAAAAATTCTTTACTAAGTTTGGAAACAAAGATTAGAGATGGCTTGTACTTTCCCCTCCTCTGGTATCAAGTAGAAAAAAACTAAGGCTTCAAATAATAACAATAAACTTTCAAACAATAACAATGACAATTCAATGCTCCAAAAAATTTTAAACCTACTTGAATTAAAAGTAAACAATACTAATAAATCAATTTTTACTCCAGCCAATCATCATTCCTTTCCCATACGCACAAAATTATCATATTTGGTAACTTGTCAAGAAAAAGAGAAGAATGAGTTCGCAAAGGACCCTCAGAGGCTCAAGTGCTTCCTCCAGGCCCAACTACAATGTCAACGATCTCAGCAAAGGCAGGGTCAGCCGGAAAAGCAAAGAAACAACCCCATATATAGTACCCAAACCAGCAAAGAAACAACAAAGTAAAATCGAAGAAACAAAAACAGCCAACAACAGCACGGTCCAAACAGCAACCCTGGAAACAACTGTCCTAATCCCAGCAAGCCAAAACCCCAAGGAGAAAACCCAAGCACCCAAAGACAAAGAGCTGTGGAGTGACGAGGTGAAAAGAATAGTGGCAGAAACTTCTACAAAAAGGCAACAAACACAACAAGAGACCAGTGAATATATCAGAATTGATGATTCAGATGCAGAGATGGAGGAAACAGAAACCGGAAACAACAACTGAAAAACATCGAAAGAAGATGAAGAATGGTCAACATACAACAAAGGCAAACAACTGACACACCAATGGAACAAACCTAGATCACGCTCCCCTTTCGATAGAAGCAGCAGATACGGTAGACAGAGAAGTAAGGTGGGCATCAATGCCTCCACCATCCACGGAAAAAACACAAGCCAGAAAATTCAGTATATTACCAAGGCACTCGAATGTCCAGAAGGGCTTCTTGCTATCCGCA